AAAAAAAAAAAAAAAAAAAAAAAACAATAAGTAAAGTGACTAAAATTAAATACACGTGTGTGTGTGTGTGTGTCCAACAATAATAATAATAAAAAAAATTCCGCGTTATACTAGCGCGAACGTGGCATTTTTCAAACGATTTATTTGCGTACGATTATTGCAATACATTTCGCGGTTTCCACTGATGGTAAAACCGTATGCAATAGTGGCAACGATTTCGCCGATCCGGCTCGTCTAAGTTCGCGGTTGCAAAAAAATCCGTTATTCTTTCACGAATTGCGCCCGTCGTACGTGCACGTCTGATCGCTCCTGGGCACGGGAAAAGTCGATGCGATTCGCTCAACCCGTGAAATCGAAATATTTATCGGGACGACACGGCTCTGGTACCTGTGCGTACCACGGTAAACGGTCGGTATGAACCGCACCGTCCGTACGCGGTCTCCTTACCGTAATCTCGTCTTCTTCGAAAGGCCGCCCGCGCTCGTCTCTCGTTTTTCGTTTCGTTTTCGCGTATCGGCAACGAACAATAATAACAATTAAAATTATGCGCGTCGTGCGCAGCGCAACAACAATAGATTTCACACAGACGCACGCGGTCCTTATCGTGTCCGTGCGACGACGACGACGTCGACGGCCATTTGTCATCTCTAGTCGCATTTCTAGTACCGGTCGCGCACGTCCATCGTACATCATCGCGGCCCGTTTCGATCCGTTCCGTTCGCATAACAAGTCTCTCGCGTGTTCCCACGGCCTTCGACCGACAACCGGAGCGACGGAAGACGCGACGAAATCGCACGAAAACACCGCGAGCTCACGACCAAGGTAACGTATGCAAGCGAACGTTTTCTCGTAAATAAACGTGCGCGGGGATGGATGGGGGGTGAACAACGTTTCGAGAACAAAGCGCTCCGGCTGACGTCTCCGAACATCTGTGCGAGGGTGCGAGCGCGACTTTACCGCGCGCGCTCGACACCTGTCCCGGATCGTGCCCTCGGGCACCGTCGATATCTCTCTCGCGTTCGATTGCACTTTTTGTCTTTATATTTTTATTTCACGCTTTGTATAGCTGGTTCGCGTGCACATTCGCGCGGTATCATCGATGTTACGCCGTTTTCGCTCGGACCTGAGGATAACTGAAAATGAAAAAACGAAAACGGCTACGACCGGTTATAATTCATGTTGCACCGGACGGGCAAACCGTCAAGACAACGCGGAACGAAAATTCGCATCTGTCAACCGCCTCGTACACGCGGGTGCACAATCCGATCGTGCGCGTTCGTGTTTACGCGATCGCATCGTTTTGGTCGCCTAAACCTTACGTGTCGCTTAAGAGGACGTCGCACCCGCATGTTCTGTCTCCGTCTTATACACGTACGACACCGCGGTGAAATGTTCGTTATGAGCATTTTCAAATATTAATATTTTTTTTACTCATAACGCATTTGAAAATTAAAACATCGTATAAAACACGGATAACGTTCTTACCTATAAGTTTGATAATAGGTCAATTCACACTCTGATATTAAAACTAAAAGCACTCCATTGGAACGGATGAACGAAAGTTTACCAAGTCGCACGTGCACGTGTCACGTATACAACACATGCGGACATTCCTCTTACGGACCGTAATGATAAACACCGGATGATGGGCCTCAGCGTATGCGCGTATTGTTCGTCCCCGTACGTCTTTTATTTGCGATCGCCGTCGCACCGTGTGCAGGCAACGAGAATAATCGCAGAAGTGATCATGTATACCATAAAAATTAATTTCCGCTAATCGAGTTACGTCTAAATCGTTTACGCGTTTACGACTGGTGGGCAAAATATTAGAAACTGTTCAGTCGAGACGTTTGCAAGGCCGTCGTTCGACCACGGTCCCCCGCGACAATGACCCTGTACAGACGCGGTTACGAACACGAAATTAATAACATCGCTTAACATTTTTGCGCGATCCCGTCCGCGGTACAGGACGAGCAGAAGATGCGATTTATAAACTATACGTTTGATGGAAATGTGCGAGTTTTAATGTTTCGCGTACCGAATTTACGACCGCGTTTAAACCGCAATAGAATAGTTTTTCGAATACAGATTATTTTTTTTTTTAAGTTTATTAGCCGCAGTCGTGGTGCTAACTCTTGTATGATGCGCATTGTATTATAGCTATACATAATTACAGATTTATGGACGAAATCGTATTTGGATAATAATCCTGTTATATACGTTTGGATGAAATGTATTTTCTATCGGGCGTTCGGTAGCATTAAAAAGGTCTGAAAAGTTTAACCGTGAGCCGAATTACGTTAATTAAATTTGACAGTTATGGAAACCTCACGAGGGCTTTTCGAGCGCTCACGTTTAAGCTCTGCTATACACGCCCAATCAGGTAGGAGGTTCGAAAGAATAATCCAAAGGTCTTCTATATTGGCTGGACGAAGCCAAATAACGCACAAAGTTCGGTGCCGGGTTAAAGAAACTATTCATCGTTTCGGCTTAACCGTAGTATACATAATTAATGCACTAATCACATTTGACGCGATGTATTCCATACCTGTACTATACGTATGTATGTGTGCCATTTGATTTGTTTTTGTCACGTGAAAAAAAAAAGAATGAAATCTTAGAAACCGTAAGCGGAAGCTGATTACTATT